TGGCTAAAGCTGGTATTATAACCATTATAACTATGTGCTACAAGAAGATTGATCATGAAAATACAATGGGAATGCTTGTAGGTGATGTAATATATTGATCTATCTATATCTATCATCTATCTATCTCTTACATTTCAAGAAAGGTTTTTCAGAGTTTGTCCTTCACACTACAAAATCTCAGGAAATTGTGCAACACACCATTTGTTTGAAATCATTATTTTATGTTAAGCCTAGTTGATGTCTGTAGAATAATAACTATAGGTTTAGTTTTCCCAGAAATGTTGAACAAGCTCCCAAACTGAAGAAATATGAAGGAAGCCTTTTAGATGAACTCAATCATATTGAAAATAGGGGGATTTATGGTACCACATACAATCTATAGGCAGAACTTCTAAAGATTCTCTATAGGGCAAACCTTTGGTGGCCAGGTAGATAGGACAATAATGTATAATGGGCTGGACCATGAATCATATATTTATTTTTTATTTTATTTTATTTACTCAATTTGTATACCCACTCATCTCATATTTGTGACTCTTGGACGCCTTACAATTAAAACATAAACAGTACCCCCCCCCCCGGGATGGGGACTGCCATACAAACAATAAAAAAATTAAAACCAAATAATTAAAGCCATACAGTACAGTCACCAGCACAGCACAGACATTCTACAACAGTGCAGTCATTTTATGGGCTCCATACCACTGTCTGATCACCAGGCCAGATGATAAAGTCAGGTGTTTAGGAGGCCATCAAGGTTGGGATCAGCCTGACCTTGGTGGGTATGATGTTCCATAGGGTGGATACAGCAGCAGAAAAGACCCTGCTCCTGGGTCCCACCAGATGACATTCTCTAGTGGACAAAACCTGCAACAAGCCAGCTCTGCTGGACCTGATGGAACAAGTAGATGTCACTGGGGAGAGGCATTCCCTCAAATAACCCGGTCCCATGCCATGTAGGGCTTTACAGGTTATCACCAGCACGTTGAATTGCACCCAAAAACAAATTGCTAACCAGTACAACTTGCAGAGCAGAAATGTAGTGTGTGCACATCTATACATAGGAAGTGTTGGGATATTCACTTTTAGGCCTTTTGGAGTTGGTCCTAGGTTTATAAATCATGTTAAGTCTATTTTAGAGCTACTCTAGAAATGCTCATTTGTTTTAGAGACTGATTTTCAGATGTATAAGACATTTCAGGGATCACAAAAAGGGGGCTTGAAGGTCAATTGAAGATCTCTCTTACAGGAGATGAGCCGTTCTCAAACATGACTGGCTAGGTACCGCATCTCTCTAGCCTTGGCTGATCCCAGAACCTCAGGCAGGAAGGCAAGCTGGACCTGGTATGTACTTGGATGGGCAACCACCAGAAATACTGGGGCTGCAATCTGCATGGAAAAGTTGATATAAGCTCTAGAGGGGAAACACCAAAATGTCTCTGTCCATTCTCTTCTACCATAATATAGTAGGAGGAAAATAATAGGAAAATGAACACTCAGAGACGTGCCTGCTTTTAGATGTTGAACTGCATGAAGGGAACATGTTCCAAAAGGTGAAATGGCCAAGAGAAGGATGTAGACAGGACCAGGTAAGAATTTAAATCTGATCTCATTAGACTTGATCATTGTTAAGCAACGATGTCCACTCCTATGTGATTTAAAAGTCTTTATTACTAATGTTCGTTTGACAGGAAAACAAAACTGAAAACCTTTTTCACTAAACTATTTGAGGATTTCCAATTCAACCTCTAAAGGAATATATCTGATTTGCCACCAGGCAAGGAACAAAATATTCTGTGGATACCTTCTGGAAGTAGAATGGTGTGTATTTGAATAGTTCAGTCATTGAACTCTTGGACTCTTTCACCCCCCCTGAGATGGAATCAGAGTGCCCTCAAATCTATTCCCATTGACATTCACACAACAAGCAAGCAATCTTTTCAAATTGAACAATAGATGTGGAATTAATATAGGAGTCAGAACATGAATATTGGACTAATTACAAATTGAATGTACCCCATGCCTTCCTGTCTAACTATTACCATCTACAAGAATTATTTGGACAGGTGAATTATCTATGAAAGACAACTGTTTTAAAACCATAAGTGAAGATACATTGCTTGAAACCTTTAAAATTTAAGAAGGTACTGGTCACTGCAAATATTTTCAAAAAAATTAAGAAATTAAGGGCAAGATTTTTAGAGGAATCTAACTATGCATATTATTTCTGAGTTGATTGTTTCCAGTATGGAAAATAGAATTGTCCCAGTCATCTTATTGTTAATGTTTAGGTAATTATTAATGTCAAGTAATATACAGAAAGATTAGAGATAATGAAAGATTAATTTCACCACCATTTCTTATTCGTTCTTTCAGATTTTTGGTGATTTTTTTAAAGACCACACAAATATTTTTATTTTTCTCAAAAGCATTTCCTAATATCCTAAAGAAACAAACACTAGTTTACATTATTTTCAAATGTATTTCATCTCTGCTTTATACTAATATATAGATTTTTTTACACATTTTCTCTCATTGCTCAACTTTCATTTCATTTCATTTTACAATTGGTGTCTTGAGGGTTACATGTGAAGCAAACAAAAAAAACAAAGTGTTTAGTTTAAATCTCTTCTGGAAATGACTCAAATTTCACATCATCATCATCTGAATAATCACAATCTTTTGACCTTAAGAAAGTGTATACATGTTGAGGAAGTTAATTTAATGAAGTTCTACTCACCTTATTATCTGACAGAAAAATAATGACTATAAAAGCCCTTGCTATTTCTAATATGTTTTAACCAGAATTATGTTATGCAGAGTGCAGCTAAAACCACAGGTCATGCCAAAAATACACACCGGCGGTAGAGAGATTTAAAGAATGCAATGTCCTTATCTTGTTCCCCAAAGAAATCCAGCCAGAAAGTATAAAATATCTGGTTGTTTATTGAGAAAAATAAAAACTACATAAAATATGAGTTTCATGCAAAACATTAAAAATATCTCTTTTTCTCATATATGTGGCATCCAAGACTTATCCACTACACAAGTTTAACAAAGTCTCTAGCCAAAAACTCTCAGAGAAGAGGTACACTACTTAGTTATTAGTTACTACTACATAACCTATAAAAACTGATTACATGATAGCTAACACCCTACTGAGCAGTGAGGCATATAGTATGCCTCTAGTATATACACATGGATCAGCTAATGATTTCTTGAAACCAGTTTCCATCAAAACTTTATCTAAACATTGATGCCAACATCTCCCAGCTTGTTTCAATCCATACAGTGCTTTACGCAACTTATAGATTTTTTGGGAATTGCCACATGTGTAACCTGGTGTTTGTTTCATGTACACAGTATCAGGAAGATCAGCATTCAAATAAGCTGTATCTACATAAAATGATGAACAATCATGTCTCTGTGCAGCTAAGGCCAAAATTACACGTAATGACTCAGGCCTAACTGTAGGTGCATATGTGAGATTGTAATTCACAAATTGCTCTTGTGAATACCCTTGTGCCACTAGTCTAGCTTTATACTGAACGGTATGATCAGGTAAAAGCTTTTTTTTAAATACCCATCTGGAACCTAT